GTTAGATATATATAACGATGTAAATAAAAATGACATCGTTTTGCTGCAAAGAAAAAAAAACACAGCTGAGAATATTATATAAACTGTATAAGTCTTGGAAAAAAGAACAATAAATTAATCTACAGACACAAATCTGCCAAAGTTTAACCACAAAGTAAAAAATACAACGCTGCCTGAAAATCATCACATTTGAACCCTAACAATGTAATAACTTAAACGTTAGAGAATATTTGAGCTTTAGTTTAAAAAGTTAAACCTAAGATTTACTAAATCTTCACAGTTTAATAAATTCTGCTCGGAAGGTCCTAAAATGAAGATGGCCAAAAAAGAAGCTGTTTGCTGATTTTAGTCTGAGAATTCTGGTCCTGGGAATAATCCTCAAAGTGAGACCTCTTCCTTTTCCGACCCTCTCTGATTGAAATCATTCCACTACGTCAGGTCGTCCGGTCCGCTCGGAGAAGATGTCTGCGACGGGTTCAGGCGGACCAGGACCCGGACCAGGACCCGCCTCGGGCTCCGGGTCCGGGGCCTCCAACCCCCGAAAGTTCAGCGAGAAGATCGCCTTGCACACCCAGAGGCAGGCCGAGGAGACGGCCGCCTTCCAGGAGGTTATGATGGACATCACTTCGACCAGGGTGAGTGCGAGGCGGAGGAGGTAGGAGGAGGGAGCTCTCCGGAGGAAGAGAGGCCTGTCCGGGTCTTCGAGAGGCGCCAGATCCGCTGGCTCTGCTGAGCCGACTGGATATTTTTGTTTGGGTTCGGTTACTTTAGAAAGAAAAAGATGTTTTCAGGGATAACGCGAGAAGCTTCTGTCTCGTTTAGAGTCGGAAGCGCTTCGGTTTTCTTCGTTTACGTCGTTAGCGGGGCTAGCTTCTGTTAGCAGCGATGCTAACTGTTTACTGCACTGCTGGGAGCTGTCCGGCTGCTGGAGCCGGGAATGAGGCGTCCTAACCCGGGTGAAAAACTGAGAGCTGTCCGGCTGCTGGAGCCGGGGAGCCTCTGCTCTGTCCCAGTTTGTTGTGTTTTTGAATGTTTGCGGTGGTTTTGAACAGACTCCAGCTGTTTTTAGACCTGTTAACAGTCCGTTTTCATCCCATCCTGGGTTCAAATTTGTTGACCTGAAGCATCCAGCTGCACGTTAAATTCTTCATCGGCAGTTTGGCTTTTCTTTGGACTTTGGCTGCTCCTCCACTCAGTTCCTGTTCGTGTCCAGACCGGTGTTTTCATCTCCAGGCTCTGCTGGTAGAGGCGGTATCATGATCTGGGCTGGCAGAGCTTTCAGGATTATACTTCTTCCTTCAGACGAAGACTGGTTTGGAGATTCCTATTAATAAATTAGTTTTTTAAAAGCGACTTTATGGATTGATTCTGTTGATTAAACATGAACAGAGGATTGTGTGAAAACTTTTTCTCAGCTCAGTTCCTGCAGAAAAACAAACCTGAACCTGTTTCATCTGCAGAAACTTCTGGAGAACTTTGGTCCTGAAACCGGGCCAGAGATCTGCCTGTGCAGCTGTTTGATTCTGGTTCTGGAGTCGGCAGAATGAACCCAGGTTCTCGGCAGCTGAAGGTCGGGTCCAGCTGGTGCTGATGGACCTCCAGAACCGTTCAGAAGCCTTAGTCTGCTGCAGCCCAATAGGCCGGTCCAAACCAAACCGGATGTAGTTCTGCTGGGTTCTGTTTGGGTCTGTTCAAACCGTTCAGGACCAGCCGGATCGGGCCTGCCTGACGGAGTTGTTGTGACAACATAGGTCATGAGACCAAGTTCATTCATGCTGAATAAACTCAGATATTTAGACATGCAGTCTGATGATGATGATGATGATTTTGACCAGAACCTGTCGTTGTCCCGGCAGCTGCAGGCCCAGAAGTTACGCCTGGCCCGGAACCAGGGGCCGTACTACGGTGGTTCCTTACCCAACGTCAACCAGATCGGCCGCAACCCGCAGGACTTCCAGGTGAGCCGCTAACTTGAGCTGGACAAGATTTAGCATTAGCCTGAACTAACACAGTGTTAGCATTAGAATCCATCAGTCCTCTGTTAGCGTTAGCCACCACCAGTCCTCTGTTAGCATTAACCTCCATCAGTCCTCTGTTAGCATTAACCTCCATCAGTCCTCTGTTAGCGTTAGCCACCACCAGTCCTCTGTTAGCCACCACCAGTCCTCTGTTAGCCACCACCAGTCCTCTGTTAGCCACCACCAGTCCTCTGTTAGCCACCACCAG